GTGAAAAAACTTCTCAGTAAGAGCAGATCCCAGTTGTTAAGTCTTTCAACTGTGACCTGTGCGATTTGATTACTTTTATTTTTATTTAATTTTTAATTTAATTTTATTTTTTGGTACTGGGGATCAAACTCAGGACCTTGTGCTTGCCAGGCAGGTGCTTAAACAGCTGAGCTATCTCTCTGGCCCCCTAAATTTTTATTTTTATAAAGAAATAGCTTTATTGGTATATACTGGAAAGTAAAGTAGCTACAAATATTTACAGTACAAAATTGGATAGTTACTACATGAAATACCCAATGCAATATCCTAAAATAATCATGATTAAACAGTTTTCTCCGTATAGCAATGTATAACTCAAGAGGGGACAAATAGAAGATGGCCGGATGGTAAGCAGGAGAGAAAGAGGCTGTATGGGAGTTGCTGTCTAGACAGGATATAGCAGTGTGAGGAAGACAAGAAGGAGAGAGTGGGTCCCCTAGTCCTAGGCAGGATCTAAAGCAAGAATTGAAGACTATGGTGAGAGTGAAGAGAAAGCGGTCACTGAGTTTAGGAGGTAGCTGGTTGCACCTTCTCCCTGAGATGGGACTCACTGTGTGAGAGGAGCAATTCAAACTTGCGGACACTCAGTGACCGCTGGTAACCCCAGTAGGCCTCCACAGAGAGATGTAGCAGTGGAGGGGAGAGGAGATGTGCAGGACTGTACTGGCTGGCACTGAGTGCTGAAGGTTCCACAGTTCTGTGCAAGAGATTGGTTGGCTGGGGGCCATCTTGGAGATGGGTCAGCTGAGCTCAGAACTCAGAGTGGCTGCCAGTTCCGTGTAGTGGCTCCTACCTGGGCTTAGGCCCATGGAAGTTGCACTGATGGCTGCAGGCTGAAAAGTCTGGTCTCAGCCACAAGGCACACTGAGATGATCCAGTTTGCTGCCTAAAAGCAACTGTTGCCTTGCTGAAATAAATCAACATGGATCGAGGTTTTTTTCCTCTGTACATTGTCTACCAGTGACAGCAGAGATATACCTGCAAGTGGACTTTTTTTCTTTTGTATTCCTGTATTATTTTTTGTTGTTGTTCTTGTGGTATTGTTTTTGTTTTTTGTTATCTTTTTATTTTTTTCTCCCTCATTGCTTGATCTTGTTTTTATATAAGTATAAATGTGGATTCTAGCCTCTTTGTGGTTGTGCTGTTGTTCTCTCCTTTGTTTTCTCTTTTCCTTTAGTCTTCTGCAGTTTCCCAAAGTTAGCATGATCCTCCTTTGTCCTCCAGCCTTACGTCTAATCTCTTCCTCTCCTTCCACTTGTCTACTTTTTCCCTAACTTATTTTAAATTTGATCCCCTAAGGGCCAAATTGATATATTAAGGACTTGTATATTGCATATAATATTCTGGTTTTCAATTTTGTTATATAATACAAAGCTAGTTCATACAATTAAAGGTAGCAAATTAGTGGTTACAGTTTGTCATTTTCTAGTCTGTGTTTGATGCTATTGTCCTTCTGATGGTATCATTATAGCCAAAAGGGACAAAACTGTTCTAAGCAGCTGTTCTTCCTGGTATTCCAAAACTGAGATTGATGAAGGGTCACAGAAAATACTTTGGCACAGTGCCAAGGAATCAAGGGCTGGGCCAGACAGGCAGCAACTTCTCATCTTGAAAAAATTGCAGATGGAGGTTCTTGTAATAGACTCAAAATCCAAAAATCAGCTACATCGGGAAGGTATGTCAGAGAAATAGACATTTCCTAAGTCTTCTAAGTACTAGCAGTAAAGCAACCCCTCATAGACAGTTTATAAGCATCACTCCACAAATTAAACTAGAAAAAAGAAAAGGAAGTGAAAAGATACTTAAACATCATATAACCCCAGACTTCTAGTTCACAAAAGGTAAACCCAGGGAGCAAAGAAGTGGGGCAATCTGAAAGCCACCCACATGGCCTCTGAAGTATTAATAACAAAGCAATTGAATGAGGCTTTAGAAAAAAATCAAATTGGAAATAGTTTCTCAGATAAGTACAAAGATGGTGTCCACATTGAAAACCATGCTTAGTGACTTTCGATTCAAAAACTAGAGGAGTTTAAGAAAATTATGGAAGCTATGAATGTTCAGCATAGGAAAGAAATGGATTCTGTAAGGCAGATTCCAGCAGCTATCCAGGAGAATAAGAATTCCATCGAACATATATGCAACAGATAAGCAAATATAAAGACAGGATCTTTGATACAGAGGATAGGCTTGTGGGGAACTATAATAAAATGAAGGTTTCATAAAAGTAGCAGGGGACCATGAAAAAAATTAATATAGCAGCTGTTACATGAGCCAAAGAAGCCAGGGAGATAAGAACAAGTGCAAGGGCCTGAGTTCAATCACTGGTTTTGCCAAAAAAAACCAACAACAACAATAAAAAAAAGGATTGATTGGAGTATCTATCTATCTATCTATCTAGATATATATCTATATATCTCTATCTCTATCTCTATCTATATATATCTGTTATAGCATGGCTGAAAACTTTTTTAATAGAGAAAAGGAATTTGACAAGAGTTAAGTGAGGCATATAGAATTCTAATTAGCTATGATCAAAAAGTATCTCCAGCCAGGCATATCATAGTCAAGATTTCACAAATTCAGCATAAGGATAGATCTTAAAAGCTGCTAGGGAAAAGAAAATAGTCCTCTGTAAAGGACAGCCCATCAGAGCCACAGCTGACTTCTGAACAGGAACCCTCAAATGAAGGAGAGCTTGGAGTGAAGTATTTGAAGCTCTAAAGCAAAAGAGCTTTCAACCCACATTGATGTACCCTAAAAAGTATCTTTCAAAGCATATGGAGAAATAAGATACTTGCATGACAAAGAATATCTGGGGAAATTTATGATCACCAAAGCAGCACTCCAAAGTTTTTTAAGGACATTATAGAAAGAGATGAGGGCTACAACTCCATGAACTCCAATAGAGGGCAAGACAAACAAGTAATCCACTGCCTCCGTCCTAGGCAGATGGAGGAGGAAACAGGGGGAGTCAACAATAAGAAAATAACATGACAAACATGAGTGAATATATTTTAGTTATAACAATCAATATTAAAGATCTCAATTCAGTAATGAAAAAACACACACCTAGCTGAATGGATCAAGAAGCAGGATCCAACAATGCGCTGCATACAAGACACATTTAACTCAAAAAGAAATTCAGAGACTGAAACTTAAAGGATGGAAAATAGTATGCCGTATGAGAGGAATCCAGAAAAAAGCAGTGGTACCTATGCTCTTTGTAGACAAAGTGAATTTCGAGCCAATACTGATTAAGAAATTAAATAAGGTCACTATAACCTTGTAAAGGGAATAATCCAAGAGAAAGAGACAACTATCATAAATATGTAGGTATCAATACCAGTGCATCCAATTATATAAAACAAATATTAACAAGCATGAAAAATTAAATAAGCACTAATACAGTTGTATTGGGTGATCTTAATGCCCCAATGTTACAAAAAGGTAGATGGACTAGACAAAAAATCAGTAGTGCAATATTAGAACTGAACTAGACTTTTGAACAAATGGACTTAGGAATGGATGAAAAGATGTGGCATTTTTATGCAATGAAGTACTTAAGTGTAAAATGGAGACTTATAGGGAAATGGATGCAACTGAAGACCACACTCATAAGTGAGATGAATGAGGTGCACAAGTGTAAGCATATTGGGTCAGGGAGATAGCAAACATATTGTCTCCCCAGAGAAACTGAAAGAGTAAATGTTTTATAATTCGCGGAGGTAGCCTGGCTTAGAAATGTTTTATAGCTTTCTATCCAGAAATCTTTTGAAAAACTTCATTGAAGTATAATTGACATACAGTAAGTGGCTCATTTAAAAT